TTTACAGGCTACACTGCCTGTGGGACGCCTAGCCTGTGGACTGTGTCGCTGTAAGTTGAGGTTCCTTTAAGACCACACGATTGAAATTTACATCTCTGGAGCTGGGGACTGACAGTTGGTGACCTGTCTTGCTATTTGCTGCTGTGCTGATATAGCCTAGCTCTCTCTACAGAAGACGACCTAGCGGCCCTCAAGACTCAAAGGACTGCCAGTGTCACACAACTCTCTCTCACGGGAGTGAGTTGCACTGAGCCATTTGTAATACTTTATAATTTAACTGTTCATTTCTTGCATTATATATCTATCTGTATATAATTTAACAGTTCATTTCTTGTGTTATATATTTATCCTTATAAATATATATATAATTACTAGCGATCTGGTTTTGTCTCTCTAGAGGACCCTGTCTAACACAGGGGGCTATATGTCCATTCTTGTGATGGGTCCCCTTTTTCAGCCTCCACCCTCCCGAACCTCCACCCCCTACCCTCATGATATAGCGCTACTCCCTTTACTGTTCCTGAGGAGTTTATCTTTCCTGAATTCCATGTGTCAAGAGCTATTATCTGTACCATTGTGTATTCTCCAGTGTAGCCAGATTTGTAAGTTACATCTGGTTCATGGTAGTTGGGCGAGGAAGTATATTGCGGAACTATAGGAATGATGTGTGATTCTTCGGTGCTATACTGTGCCTTGGTTGAATCATTCCTTCCTTATAACCCTCTGTGGGGAATATCCAGTATTCTGCAGATAGGCTTTGGGTCTCCATTACACACACACACCACACACACACACACACACACACACACACACACACACCCTCGTTCACTTCGATATAGTTGTTTGTTTTGGATCTTTTGATACCTAATCCCGTCGACACTTCATGAGCACATCTTCCATATGGGCTTATACATCCTCCATTTTTGCATAACATTGATTTACATAACATTTTCAAAGTTTTCTTTGAAACCTAACCATATTGAAAAGTAAGCAGTGGGTATGTTTTAAGCACTTCTTAATAATAAATTGTCCTTTGTAGTAATAGTTGTTTATGCTTAACTCAAACCAAACTTAATGCCCTTGAGTCAATTCTGACTCGCAATGACCCTGTAGCTATAGAATATTGCTTTTCTCTGTACTCTATGCATTTAAGTGGTTGGATTAAAAAAAACAATGCATATTTTAAAACTTTAATTTTTACAGCTGAATTTTGAAAAATGAGATCTTATTGTAAATCTTGTTCAATGATTTTCATAGTTTCACCAATTTAACGTTTAGATGCTGGCAAAATGTATTTTCTGCCATGTCTTTCTTCTTTGATCAGTTTGGTCTGTTTAAACCCACCGTTTTCTTAGCTTGCAGAGCAGAGGGAAGTACGGCATACCTACGGCCTGGAGTCTCTCTGCCACTGCCCTTTTTATGAAGAAGCCATGCATTTAGTTGAAGAAGGAAGGATTTATTCTAGAGTGCTTAGGTACCGTTTTCATTTTGTTTGTTTTTATGAACAACATTAGAGTGCTGTTGCTATGTTTGTTTGATATTTATTAAAAATGTTCCTGAGAATAGGAAGAAATTATTTTTTCGTCCAAGTTAAAATTTTGTTCTGTCAGTATTGAGAAGACATGTGTTTTATATTAAGGTCCTGAGATTAAGCCTTGTTTGAGTCCAAACTTGTAGTCGGCTTGATTTCGAATCCAGTTTAACAGTTTTCTCCCGTTTATTACATAGAACTGAAATGTTGGAGTGCCTTGGAGACAGTGATTTTCTTGCCAAACTTCACTGTATTCGACAGGCTTTTCAGGTATTATTATTACTTTTTAACACTAAGTGACTTCAACCAGCCAATCATCCATTCTTACCCTCACACTCTAGAATTAAGCTGCATATAAACCGAGTAACTCCTTGCTTTTTATTATTCCTGTTCCTGATGGCTACTCAGTTTGTTGTTCCTCCCTGCCACTTCCTGGGATCCGTGCCCATGTCTCATTTTGCTTCCCCATGGCTTCCCAGGCTTTGTCAGAACAGGCCATTTAAGAATCTTTTCTTTTTACATTTTCAATTAGTGTGTGTTCTTGATTTTGTCAACAATCAGTTGTAAAATACTTTCTTTTTCAAAATGAAGTAATAATATTAATAATAAAATATGTATTTTCCTCTGTTTGAGGTTATATAAAATTATTTTAGACTTTCTAATCTCATGCTGAACATACTTAAATGCAGATTAACCTCCTTATAATTATTTTTAACTAAGAGCTTAAGAAGTCTTTTAATATTAGTAAATTAGGATTTTTCATATGGTCAGCCTGAACAAATAGTACCACATATAGTACCTTAACTGTTATTAGAGTTATTTATGCATAGAGTCCATAGATGTTTGATGTGCATTTAAATTAATTATGGATCTCATTCTTCATTGGCTGTGGCTGTTTTTTTACAGGTAATTCTTTCAGAAACAGCCAACAGGATGTTCCTCGCTGAGAGTGGAAGGACAATTTTATCAGCTTTACTTGTAAAAGCACAAAAGGTAAACTTAATTTGTTAGCCAATTTCCTATTGTCATTGTCTTGATTCAATTTAAGATTAAATATATTAAAAAATTTTATAGAACAAAAATATCTTGTAGTCGGTTACAAAATGTAACACATTAAAAGTAATTAACCCAAGCACATTGATTTGTACTTGGGTTAAATGATTTTCTCTGAAAATGTCCACACAGTGTGACCAAGTTGTTTCTCATGAATCCTTCCCAATTTGCCAGAAAGCCTATGGATGCCACAGTAAGAATCATCATCAGATCTATTATAACTACATTGTTATTACTATAGTTTCTATTTACAAATACTTTCTTTCCTGTCTCTCTCAATCCTGTTGGTTAACTGGGCTTCAAAAATAAGTATAAATATTAGAAATATGAAAATATAAATTGAGTTGTCTATTACTAATCTTTGTGGGATTGAATAAGACAGAAGCAGTGATAAGAACTCATTTAGATGATAAGAACCAAGTCCTTCTAGCCTATCTTAGTGTGGAAGTTCTGTTGGAGCTAACCCACAACAGACACTAAGGTCTACAATAGGAAGTGGTCCTGCTGATCTTTGAAATCCCAGTGGCCTTTCTTCCAGCATCACTGCAGCATACAAGCCTCTATGGTCCAAAAAAGTAGAGTGCAATTGGTACAGTACAACAAGCTGATAGCTGAGTGGTTGGCTATGAATATTGCTGTCCACTCTTAAGGGCTAGGTGTAGATTAATCCTTAAAATCAAATTACTTATAGCAGATAATCTATGATGCCTTTGATTCAGTTCTGCTCTTTTGGAAAAAACTTATGTGAACTCTAGTTGTCCCCAAAAGAGCAGAACTGAATAAAAAATATTACACATTATCTGCTGTAACCAATTTTTATCTTTAGGGCCAATCTAACCCAGTTTTCACTTGCTGACCTAGTTCGGTTTGGAAGATCAGTTCGTTATGTGAAAATAGGCATTGGGCAAAACTAGAGGATGACCACATTATATAACAAAATGGAGAACGACTGCCTTATTACATAACTGCCTGATTACATGTTGACATTTTACAACTGCCAAGCCACTGAGACTCATTTGTTCTCCCGCCAAGTTGATACATAACCTTAACCACAATGAGTGTTATTCTCAACTTAGACTGGCATTCATTACTGCCAGGTATACATCATTAATTATCAAAATAATCAGATAGATTTTTTTATATTGTCATAAATAAAATCATTGGATAAAGAGGTAGTGGATAAGCAAGGAGTAGATGTAACCATATATATTTAAGCAGTAAGCAGTTTTCTTATATTTTTTTAAGCAGTTTGCTTATGATATCTTGCTAGGTTTCTATAAAATATTAGAATAATAAAACACTAAAGCAAATGAACTTGGCATACCTTGAGATTGATTTAATTCATTTATCTAATAGAATGAAGATCCAATGCACTTCCTTAAAGAGTAACTTATTTACTTTATAGGTCTAAGCTTCACACATTGAGTTTAAAATTAAACTTTTTTCTTGCAGAATCCAAAGAAGTTTGAAGATGTTTTTGATGAAATGATGTACTTTCTAGAGCAGACTGATCACTGGGATAGTACTGAAATGGAACTTGCTGCTAGAGGTGTAAGTTCAAATTTTTTATTATATCCATTCTTATTTGCATATAGCATCTATATGAATTAAGGCCACTGTTACCGTGTCCTTATTAAATGACAGAGATCAAGTTATTTTTTACTGTGATATCATGTTTCCAACAGACTCACAAATATTAGCAACTGCTGTGTGTATATTGAGACTCCAGTTTAAAAGAATTGATTTTGAAAAAGCCTTCCTTTTTAGCTCCTTCTTTCTGCCCCAAAATCATTGGTAAGACCCCAGCAGAGTGGAAATGTGCAAGGTATTATTATGTTCTTGGAAGATATTACAAGGTAATGGTAAATTGATGTCCTCAGTGGATAGACACATTACTTTGTAATACTGTAGGTAATGTAAGATCGTGTATGAAGCACAAAGGGACCTTAAGGAAAGGAACTGTTGTCTGCTCGGAAAAGTCTTGTAAGGCTTCATAGAAGACATTGATGATTAAACTGGCCTTTGACGGTGAAGTAATAGTTGGCACTGTGGGTGTTTACAAGGAGCTGGAAGGCATTCTAGAATCAAAGATAAGGATCCATAATCTTCCTTCTCCACGGTTCCCCGACTCCAGGGATCAAATGACGTCCACCTAGTTGTGCAGGGCAGCAACGTTCCTTCACACCTTTCTGGACGTCATCTCCTTTATTATAGTCACATCCAGGTTTTGTCAAGTTTAACTCTTTTATATTTTTCTTATTTTCCTTTTTCTACCATACCCATCTTGGTCTAAGCAGCTACAATTTTTT